TGATAATTCAGGGTTTAAAAACCATTGAGTTATATCCAAAAATCTCAGGGGTTCTCCAGGTATTTCCCTGTTCTTCTTCAGTATATCACCATTATCAGCCCACATTGCACCTCAGCTCACATTAGCTTGTTACTGAAGTTCCTCTTCAAACCACACACCACCCTGAAATGTTTCAGCAGTGTTCCTTCCCTTATAATTTTTTCAGAGAAGAGTACCAGCAAGTCAATTTCACTTCAATCTCCCTCTCTCCAGCCAACTTTGACATGTCTGGAAATTTATAGTGATTTTTGGATGGAGAGTATCCCTACTAGGATAGGTTTGTAATGTTCCCTTCAATAAGTATTTATTTTATGTTTCCAGCATGCCTGGGCTAAATGGCAAATACATGCACTGGAACTATTACAGTGCAGATGGCTGCTTTTGTACCATTAGCTGGAAAGGATTCAGCAGATATCTATCAGGTTAAACAAGAAGATATTTGGCTGTCACCTCATTACTCAGCCCTGCTTGGCTAGAATTCTATAATTCTAGATTTCTTCTAAGTGTGACTGCAAAGCCCCACCATTTAGTAATGCACATATAGTCAAAAGATGATTCACAGTGGAATGACCTTTTCAGAAAATCATGAACTGACTCCTGGACAGAATATGGAGGGGCTCAGATCACCATGGAACAAAGTAAGCACACCTGTTTGCCCCTTAAGGAACTACTGCCTTTGTATTAGACAGGTGCAAGGTAGAAGCTATGCAGACCCATTTAAGTACTGAACAAAAGCAACCCTAGAAAAGTTACTAATGCCATTTACTGAGGCACCCATATTGTATTGTCAGTGTTTAATGTAGGATTCAGAATATTAGACTGTTTTCTCATCAAGAGAGGATTTACAGCTTAAGAAAACAGTTCAGCTTCTCTGCTATAGAGAAAAGTGGTTGCGTTTCCTTCCCTGGAGATGTCAAAGAAGAGTCAGACAAGGAGGTTTCCAAGTTACAGACCCTAGGTGAGAAATAAGAAGTGGTGTTGGGCATTGGTCTTCTGCTCCCAATCTTGTATTTTTAGCAAGAATCTGGATGAAGCTACAGAAGATGCATTTATCCAATACTGCAGAGAGATACGGCTAACACACTGGACAATATAATTTGTATTCAATACATTCTAGAATACTGAGATGGAACTAAATAAGAGAAAATCTAATAGACGTAAAGTAGCCTACACTCAGGTTACTAAGTCACCCGCCCGACTAAGGACAGTCCATAAAAAAGGTCATGGAGATTTTATGAGCCAGCACTGGACACACATGCGAAACATGGCATGCCGTCTTAGGCAGGATCTGCAAACAGCAGCTAGTCCTAGAACAAGGAGCCATGTTTACATTAGTTAGAATACTTCTGCAGTATTATGTACCTTTTAGATGTATTTATATTTAGATATATTTATAGGACTCGTTTTATACAGAAATTACACACTGGAGTAAATCCAGATGAAGGCAACCTGGATGTGGAAGCATCTGAAAAATATATAAATATAAGGAACAGACACAGAAACTGAGGACTTCTAAACAGAGATGATTTGGAGAAAAGATGTGACAAGCATCTTTCAACACTTAAAGCCTTAAGAGCTGCCACTAGCAAAATGTGGTACAATTTGAGCACTAAAATTAATACATGATGATAATAGACTATAATTAATTAAATAATAAAATAATCCATGAGCCAATGCTAACAGCAAATATCCAAACCTTAGATTCGAAGGGCTAGCAGATGGAAAAGAGAGTAAAGTTATTTTTATAGACAGGTGAGTTGAAGCTACATCACTTTAGGTCTAATACAGAAAAGAACCTGCTGACAGTTAATAAACAATAAAACCACAGGGCAGAACTAGCTCAAGCATTTTCAAAGATCCTCATAGTCTGCCAAATAATTGTGCAGTCTTATTCATAGTATCTAAACCTTTGCCCTCTAGTAAGAGTGGGAATTAACCTTTACTGAATGTCTAATGGTTATCAAGCAAATATTTTACGTAATCTTTCCAATGACTTAGTGAGATACGTATTATTATCTCTCCTTTACAGAAAAAGGAAGGTACAGTAACCTATGCAATGTGACACAGAGTGTCAGAGCTGGGATTTGAACCTAGGTATATCGAACTCCTTCCACCACACCACAGCGTACGTAACACACATGGAGTGGTTGGAGGAGACCCTGGAGCCGCCACACCTCAAGCTGGTGTGTCATGACTCTTTAATGGTTATGCTTTCCTCATCTACTCAGTCAGACAGGGAAACTATTACTGTCATTCCTCTGGATTGTAAGAGGAAGACTGGGGCGGTTTTTCTAGAAGTCTATTGTTAGATGAGTCTGAATTGGGTGAGATATCTCCACCCACTCCCCTCCCACAGTGCCCTTGTTTGCCCTTCTGTTGAATATGAGTCAGTTTACCTGATCAGTCCACTTTGTTAACTTCCTCTTTTTCAGAGACTGTTCACCTGAGCACTTAGAAACCAGGGTTCCCTGGCAGTCTAGAATAGTTAGGGGAAAATCTGACACTGCTGATAACATCTACAAGTTCAAACATACCAATGAGTGATTTAACGGATGAAGGAAAGTGCAGTCACAGAGGACACATGGCTGCCCTGTTATCACCGTTTTGTGTTAGAAGAGTAAGAACATTTAAATTACAGTGCATAGGCCTAGAATGATCTTCCCCTTATTTTGAAAGTGTGACTATGTCTAAGGAATTTTCTAGATTTTGTATACGGACATAACATAGAATCTCCTACCTTCTGCTCATGTCTCCTAAGGTCAGAGAAGGTAATTGGGATTTGATCTTTCTTTAGCATATTTAAAAATGCAATGTTCATATATCTGTCTGCTTTCAGACCACTGGTTTTAGCTGCCTCTTCCTCCTGGAGTTTCCTGAGACCAGTCATTTTGTTCCCTCTATTTATTTATTTATTTCACAAGTATCTCCTGAGCCTCTCTGTGCTGCGTGTCAGGTGTACGGCAATGAAACAGACAGACACAGCTCTTGCCTTCATCAGGGCTCAATGACCTGGCTATTGAGACAGACATGAAACAAAAAATTACACAGGTAGAGATTCACACTCAACAAAGAGTCCACATCTCTCTACAGAATCCAGCACAGAGCTTGGCACATGATGGGTGCTTCTACATGAATATGTGAGTGCTGTTTCTGTGAAATATGCAGAAAAACTGACCAGCTGAGTTCATCCTAGCATCAGGAATTCAACGCTTTGACTTTCAGAGTGGGGGAAAACTGGAAAAATCAGGAGATCTGTGTTCTAGTTCCTGCCTTCCCACAACTACTAGCATTGTCTTGGGTGAGTCACTTAGTTTCTCTGAGCCTGCTTGCTTACTTGTAGAGTAAAGTCTAAGTACAAGGACCCCTCATTAATAGTAAAATGGCTGCTGTCAGAGGTCTTCTAGTCCAGCCCCACACACCTTGCCAGAAAGACAAGGCATAGCTGGAGCTGAGGTCTTCCTAAAACAAATGGCTCTAGCATAGGGGTCTGTGTCAAAGTCAGAGCTGCTGGGAAGATGGATTAGCAGCTGGAAGGCATGAATTCCCTGGACCATGACACTAATAATCTATGTCTGAACATGGGAAACACTGCACTTGACTTACCACCCACTGACTGTTTAAAGACGAACACTTTTTATACGCTAGGAACACTAGGTTGTATTTCTAGACAACAGGTCAGAGGAGACAGGAAATTACAGACATGGTTTTTCATTGTATGTTTTTACAAGTGGAAAAAAAAAACTAATTTTCCATCCACTCTGATAGTCAGTAGAAAATGGCTTAAAAACTTGAGGGCAGTTGTCAGAATTACCTTGAATGACCTTGAGCACTAGTCTAAAGCATGATTACGGTGATTTGGCACCATAATTTCAGCAGGTTCGGGGCACAGTCCCCACACTAAGGTCTCAATGGTTTTTTTCTCCCAGCAAGAAAAAATAGGAAAAATCCTAATGAATGCAGATCATCTTTAAAAGAAATACCTGTAACTTAGAAAACTAAGATGAAGCAACGACACAGCCTGCTGTCTGAGCCTGAAGGAGCAGGCCAAAATACTAGGTCTGAATAAACTAGGGACAAATAGTCTTTGGAAACCCAGAACTTCATTAATAAGATCACTAATAGGCAGCAAAAGATTATCTCATACTCTTTGAATTCTGGAGTAAGCAAATGAGAGAAGGCTCAGACATGGACCCTTTCTTCCCCCTGCTACAGATTCCGGCGGTTGCATTCCTCACCTACCTGGGGCAAATACACAGAGCCTTTGCTACAGTTTCTTTTCTTTTGCTTTCCCATCAGAGCTACTAACTTTTGCTTACTTGCTCCAAAATGTTAGAAAGCAAGTGGCCAGGCTTTCTCACACAACAACTACATCCTTCACATAGCACTTCCTGGTCCTCCTGTCTCTCAGCAACTGAGCCCCAATAATCTAGCCAGAGGAAAGCATCATTTCCACTAGAGTCCCTTTGGATAAGAGGCTGCTACCAAGCAGCATCTCTGTGGCCATTTCCCAAACCATTAAGCTCGGTCTAACTTTGAGATGAGCTCTTCTCAAATCACTGTAAATTTGAGCCAATCACAGCCACTAAGGTCTCAGGACACTATTCCAATTCAGCCTTCCTGAGATCCGTCCTCCCAGAAGGCAGGGCAGCCCAAGAAGCCCAGGTGGGGCATCTCAGAAAGAGAAGAAACCTAGACTCCCTCACTACTCAGCCTGTCCACTTTTGTTAAACTCTCCCAACATGAGAGGTCAGCCTGAACCACCGCAGTCTTCCATCCCCTCAGACCAGATCTCGTGCTGGGACATGCCTCCTCCAGCCCTGTTCTTTCCCTCTTGGCACAAAGAGACAACTGGCTCCTGAAGGTAGGATCCATAGTGAGAGAAATTCTCTAGGGGTACCTCTTCAGGGGTGGTTGAGCCATCAAGAAGTCTCAGGGGAAGGAAGGTTAGGACTCTGTCCTACCTTGTCACTGTCCACTGTGTTCTGAGAGGTCCTAGAAGCAATGGAGATGGTGTCTGGTTGGCTGCTCCCATCCCCCTGGCTGTCAATATCCTCCACTCCATCCCTGCAGGAAGAAGAGAAAAAAAACAGGGGTGGGGGTGGGGGGAACCACTGTGGGTTTAGAGCACACAAGGATTTCCGGTTGGGTGGGCAGAGCAGCGCCTCGCACTTTCTAGCAGGGATTTGTCTAAAATTATCCTGCTAAAGAGAGTGGCCCTATGCGATTTTCAGTGATGTCACTTCTTGCACTTAGTAAATACATAATCACTATGTTGATAACTGAACGCAAAATGACCCCCTTTCCCAAAACTCCTCCAGCCCATGCTGCAGAGGGGGTGTATGTATATGTGAATATATATACACACATATATACATATATATATATATATATAGATATATATATATATATTTGGGAATGGGTCTATAACAGGCAGTAGGAAGATATATATCCTACTTAGAGCCTAGGCTTCTATTCAAGTGATTAGGTCATTTCAATAATCCCAAATTCAGGGCATTCAAGTTTTTGTACATGCTGTAATTAGGATGAGGGTTCATTTACAGTTGGCCTATAAAGAAAACAGAAGTGATAAGATTTCTTTTATTTTTTCATTTTTATTTTTTGAGATGGAATCTCATTCTGTCGCCCAGGCTGGAGTGCAGTGGCGTGATCTTGGCTCACTGCAACCTTTGCCTCCCAGGGTCAAGCAATTCTCCTGCCTCAGATTCCCAAGTAGCTGGGATTCCAGGCTCCTGCCATCACGCCCAGATAATTTTTGTATTTTTTTGTGGAGATAGGGTTTCACCATGTTGGCCAGGATGGTCTCAAACTCCTGACCTCAGGTGATCCGCCCACCGCGGCCTCCCAAAGTGCTGAGATTACAGGTGTGAGCCACTGCACCCAGCCAAGATTTCTTTTAAACTTAAGTTTCTTCTGTTCAGGAAAACAGGTTGAGTGGAATATTGTCTCCAGGGGCTATTATCTTTGGGAAATTCCTGCTATTGGACCTTCAACTCCTGGGTGTGGAGAAGGAATTTATTGCCTTCATCTGGCTGGGTTTTGAGGATCTCATGCGTGTTTATGATGATTTCTTATCAATATAGACGGCCAAGGCATTTTCTCAAAGATTGGAGAACAGTCACAGGTTCCACAGCAGCTTTGGAGCCAGCTGTGCTGCTGTGTGTCAGCTAAGACCATCTCCTGAGTGCACCCCCGGCATTTAGACCCCTTCCTGGGCCCTGGACCATACAGCTGTCCCACTCCCACATTCTTTCAGCTCTCCAGCTGTAGAACTATGCCCCCATCCTGTGTCGAGCCCACAGCCATGGCCAAGAGGGACTGGATGTCTGGAAACTGATGAAGGCTGCAAGGTCTGTGCCAGGAAAAGCTGGGGGAGATGTGGGGTTAGGGTTGGGGTTAGGTGAATTAGCACAGGAAATGACAACTCTTCCAATGGGCGCTTTTATAAAAGACACCCTGATGCTGCCTGTGGAGAAGTAATGGCATCAGGGGGACAGGGAAACTGAAAGCCTGAGAATCCTACCACATGAACAAAGTGCCACAAATAATGAATTCACCTCAAAGGGTTTAAATGATTACACTCTGGTGTACATGTGGATGTATGTGGATGTGTGTGTATGCAAGTACCCAGGCATGTGCACATGTATACACACAATGTCTATTCATCATAAAAAGTATTTTCTCCCACCCAGAACACTTCTAAGTCAACTGCTCTCTCACCATCATTTGTGGGCTTGGGAAATGTCAATTTATTTTAATAACATAAGCCACACATTCGTAGGAAGGAAAATCTGCTGTAAAAAGAATTTATGTGACGCATTTCAAAACCAAAAATAAAGGACTTTTAGATCATCTGTTGTTTTGGATTAACTGGGCCAGTGCTCCCCATCATGTGTAGACAGTTGAGAGCTGGCTGTACTTTCTGCTTCCTGCTATTCTGGCCCATGGTGGGCCCTTCTGGTCCACTCCAGATGAAGTAACTTCTGGGGGATGTGGGGAGCCCACCTAGGAGTGTGGGTAGTATTCCCCAACCAATGAACTCCTCTATAAACTGTCCCCATATCCAGGAATCCAAGATAATGGAATTACAGACTACCTGGTTATTCTCTGCAGAGTATGCCAAGGTTTCTCACCCACCCATCACAGGACAAGAGAAAAGGTGGGAGCGGAGAAAAGTTAGGGGCATTTCCAAGATACGCATTTCCCATATTCTAGAAATGCCCAAACTCTCCTACTATAGGAAAAAGGGGCAATGTCAGGGTAAATAACCCTAGTCAGCCACACCTGAGTATCCTCTCTCACTATGATCCTAGACCACCATTTCTTTATACTTGTTTCCTTTCTAATTTCTTTATTAAAGTATGGATTCCCTGAGGCATGGCCTGTCTCCACTGCTAGACTTTAGTCCACCCCTCCTTACCTGGACTCTGGACATAGATAACTGACATCAAAATGATTCCTCCCCTAGAGTAGTTATAATTCCTCCATGCAGCACTGAGGAGGTGACTTTATCCTGGTCATGCATGTCTTGGGGCTTCTGCCCCACGGAGGTTTCTCTACCTTAGTCACATCCTTCTTTTGGCTACCACCTTGCTCAGGACCAATGCTGCTGCTGCTTCATAGGCCCTGAAATGGCTCCCTACACTGCTTGTCCTGGTTGGTACCTAAGGGTCAACTAAATCCTCCAGCTTTATTCCATTCAGGTACAGGGGAGGAGGGAAGAACCTGTTACCACCGATGACCATCTCTGTTAGAACCCTGTTTTTTTCCTTCAAAATGTATGTGAAGTTTTTGTATGCTTTCTTTGGAAGTATCCCCCAAAAGAGTCATTAGAAGTGTAGGTGTCACATGGAGACTTGGGAAAGACATACTTAAGAAGTCATCCATGGGTTTAGAGGAAACTGGGATTCAGAAGGGTCCAGAAAGATATAAGAAATAAGTCCTCTTCTGCCCAATGACATTGCTTATCATAGGTGAATGAAGGCGAGGTCTCTGTGGGTGTTGCAATAAGAGCTGCAATGAAACCACCACTCCACACGTTACAGTACACAAAGCCCTTTCACTATCCAACCAGTCCAGCGTTCCTCCACTCTAGGGCTCATCTAAAGTCCCCTTTCTTTGAATTCTTATCGCATTTATGATCCCTATTGGTGGTTCTTCTGGTCTATTTCATGCGTGAGACATGGCTATTAGATGGCTCTTAAGGGAATCGACTCATCTTACACTTCCTTTAATCTTGTAGCACCTAGCAGAGTGTTTATCAAATAAGAGGTGCTCAGTAAAGCCCTGCTGAATTTGACACTCGTGAGATGCTTAAAGATGAGATGACTCATCCTAGGTGGAACTCACAGGCCTTCCTGGAAAGTGCTACTTGCAGGGCACATCCCCCTTCAGAAGCAAAGATTCATCCCATTCCCGCGCCCAGAAGCCTGTGAGGCAGGCAGTGCTGGAGGGAGAGGCGCTTGTTACCTCTTACTATTGTTCCTCTGTTTGGCTGGTGTTTTGGGGAGCTGAAGTGGCTCCTTTAAAGCTCCTTTCAGGTGAATGATCCTTTCTTGAATCACTTCTCGAATGTTCTTGATCCACTCCTGCTTGGTTTCGATGTTGGAAGCCTAGAGTGCCACAGGGAGAGAGACTGAGAACCCCAACTCCCATCACCTCGCCAAAAACAGCTCTCAACCCTCCTGCAGTCTTCATCTGTTATTTTCAAGGATTCCAAATGTCTGGGGAGTTTATTTATCATTTCATACTTATGACTCTTTAATACCAGAAACAGGCTTCTCCAACTCCCAGAACAGTGCTCTGACCTCAAGACTCAATGCAGAATTACTTGTATGAGAGTAATTGTCAAAGTATTTCATAACCCATAAGGCACTGACCAATCCTGATATCTGCCCTGGAGCTGGAACAGAATCTGCAAGTTCCCCCTGGGACAGGGATTAACACCTGGGTTGCTAGATCCAGGGGAGGTCTAGTGGGCACTGGGAGGGGCAGCATCTACTTCCCAATCAGTATGGATATATGTCAGGATGCTCACCTAGCATGGCTCCACAGACTTGAACTGACTAGCAGTCAGTCCTGGGCTTGTGGCAAGCTAACTCTGTTAACTAAGGCACTGCTATCATTTTATGATGATTCCATTTGTCTTGGTAAAATTTTTTTTCTGGTAATTCTGCCTCACAACAGGTAGCAGCTATGCTGGCAGTTCAGAGTGAACAAGTGTGAAGCTTTTGTCGGGGTTGGACCATCTTTTCCTTGGTGATGGGCACTTTCCTGACAAGCAAATGACTGCTGGGAGCTCCATCAGCTGCATGATCGCTGCTCAGCCAGGCTAACATCACTGCTGTGCCCCAGAGAGCTGCAATGACTCCTCAAGGCCATCCTCTAATGAAAGGCCCCCTCTTGACACTTCTCCCCATCAGCATGGTCCCCATACTAATGTGATTTACTAGGGGCTCAAGAACATAGGTTCCCAGGGAATAAGGTTCATATCTTGTACATGGTTATCCCCACCACACTAGGCACTATACCTTTTACACAGAAGCTATTTAGGAAAAAAATGTCAAATGAATGTAGAGCAAATCAAGGTGCCTTTTGTCAAAGGGTCAATTGTTCTTGCCACTTGAAGGAGTGGCTCTGTCCGTATGACAGAGCACAGTTTAAGTGGGCCCTGCTGAGCTGGCCCCGCAGGCCACTCCCTGCCCTCTTCCCTGTTGGTCACACATGTGCATGCACTTGAAGAGACCATGCATCTTTGAGATTCTGGGTCTACCTTCAGGATAGAATTTGCTTCTCAATACTCATGTGATGCTACCATTTCCAAGAGAGGCCCATGGCTCAGTAGAGTCTCTGCGCCTTAGCTTTTAGGCATCACTTGCCCACCCCTACTTCTATTACCCCCAACCCTAATCTTGTGCCTAGCAGAGAGCAGTACTTACTTTCAGCACTGTTTTATTGTCTGAGGATGGGGTGCGCCCAGACCACAAGGCGAATTTGCAGGGATCGCCCTCCACGTGCTCGGTCACACCCAGCTCTGAGGTCTGTAGACAGGAAATGCCTGTGAGAGGCGGGGAAGGGGAGGGCAGTGGGGAAACTTAGGGCTGGGGTGGGAAGGGAAAGGCAACAAAGAGGAGAGGACCGAGGGAGGGGCTTCTGTCAATCAAACTTTAACAGATTGGATATTCTGTTCATCTACCCAGCATGGAAGGACCTACAGGCACGTGCCTGATTAGCAGGTACCAGGGAGGGAAGGTGAAGAGGGAGGTGCTAAAAGCAAACAGAAAGAAGAACTGTGAACTCTAAAATGCAGACGTGGGAGGTGAGTGGGGTGCTTTCCAAATAGGAGACATTTTCATTTGTCCAGGATGGTTTTGGTGTGGAGGCCAGGGAGGAGATGAGATGAGTGTGTCCAGATCCCTTCCTGCCCATGGGTTCTATGAAAGCAGGGAGTCTTGTCTTATCCCACCTGCCCCACCTACCAGTAGCTTGTTCTTGTAAACATATTTCGTGTGTCCTGAAGAGTCTTTGATTTCCTTGCTAAAAACCAAGGAGATCTCAAAGAGGAACAAGTGCCGCTCCCGCCCCTTCCGGATCAGCGACTTCGGGTCCCACACTTGAAAGGCATCCTGGAGAATCAACTCCCCCTGCACATCCAGGTTCTCGTCGAACCCTGAAAAACATCCATTTTCACCCTGTGGAGTTTCTCTACTGCCACAGTCAGGGGGACCATGTTCCACTCCCTTCTTGGAGAAAGGCCTCTCTTATTGTTAGTCCTCAGTTCCTACAGGGTTTTTCTCTCTTTGCTAACTCCAGAGACTGCTGAACACTTCCATAGACATCTCTGAGCATTGCAATTAGATCTCTCCTGACCCCTTCCTGCACCACGTCTTTTATATACATAACCAATATTAGTGGAATCTCCTGCAAAGGTCCTGTGCAACCTCACATCTTCACATACCCACGGTTGGCCTCCTGCAAGGGCAAATCCCATAGCTCCTTTGTCCTCCACAACTTTCTACTGTTCCTGACTTGCAGCTATGAGTAGGGCTGAGGACAAACACTTTCTGACTGAGTGTCTTCAGTTCATCTTTATTTGTCATATTACCTTAATTCTCTTCATTCTTCTTCTTCTTCTTTTTCTTTTTCTTTTTTTTTTTTAGCACAGTGGCATGATCATGGCTCACTGTGGCCTTGAACTTCCAGGTTCACGTGATCCTCCCACCTTAGCTTCCCAAGTAGCTGGGTCTATAGGTACATAACACCATGCCCAGGTAATTTTTGTATTTTCTGTAGAGACCAGGTCTCTACAGACCAGCTGTTGTTGCCCAGGCTAGTCTCGAGCTCAAGTGATCCTCCCACATTGGCCTCCCAAAGTGCTAGTATTACAGGCATGAGCTACTGTGCCTGGTCTACCTTAATTCCTATATTCCATTTCTAGAATTCCCCCCTTTGATTGCTTTGCACAAGACTTCAACAGTTTATATTTACACCACTTTATACAGTTTATATTTATACCACTTTAAGTTTTTAAGAGAGGCTCTCAAACTTTAATGTGCATAAGAATCACCCGGAGAGCTTGTGAAAACACAGATTACTGCCCACCCTCCAACCTCCCCAGATATTCTGATTCAGTAGGTGTGGGGTGAGTCCATGAATGTGCACTTCTGACAAGCTCCCAGGTGCTGTTGCTGCTGCTGGTAAACAGACCATGCATGGAGTAGCTGGATCCAGAGCATAGGTCAGGGACAGACTGGAGGAGCTGGGTACTTGCAGGTACTTCACGGTGGGGTGGAGGTGAAGGTATGAACAGAGAGGAAAGGAGTGGAGAAACTGTGTCAACAGGAGTACATTTAGATTGTTCCTGCTCAGCCTAAGGAAAATAGCCAGGGCTCCTTTGCTCTAAGAATTGAGGCTTCTGGTGCTAAGGATTATCCAGGAAATATGGAGACCATATCAAGTCTCCTAAGGTGGTGGTGGTGGTGGTGGTGGTATTGGTGGAGTAGGATGGAGTCCAGAAGAGATGAAACAGCCATGTGTTTACATATTTGCAACAGACTATACACATTTCCTTTAGAATCCATTAAAAATGTTAATTTTTTTTTTTTTTTTTGAGATGGAGTCTCACTCTATCGCTCAGGCTGGAGTGCAGCGATGCGATCTCGGCTCACGGCAACCTCTGTCTTCTGGGCTCAGGCGATTCTCATACCTCAGCCTCCTGAGTAGCTGGGATTACAGGCATGCACCACCACAACTGGCTAATTTTTGTATTTTTAGTAGAGACCGGGTTTTGCCATGTTGGCCAGGCCGGTCTCGAACTCCTGACCTTGTGATCCACCCACGTTGGCCTCCCCAAAAAATGTCAAATCGTAGCTCATCTAACAAATTCCGCCCCAGTACGGCTGCTCTGCCCACTCACTCTGCAGTGTTAAGATGACTTTACTGGAATCTTACTCTACAGGTTTCTGGTCCCAAGAAGATAGTTTCAGCTGACTGAAGTCTTATCAGAGTTGTTTGGCTGGACTTACTAACCTTCTATGAGGACAAAATGCTGGTTGCACAAGAATGTGAATGTATTTAATGCCACTGAACGGTATATTCAAAAATTGTTAAAATGGTAAATTTATGCTATACATATTATGTACATTTTACCATAATAAAAAAATGAGCATAAGGCTGAAGATGGTATGTTTTGTGTGTGTGTGTCTGTGTGTGTTTATGTGATCAGGATTTCTGTTCATTGTGATGACCAAGGCGATGCAATGCAGATGCTACACAAACAAGCCTGCTGCGGGTTGGGAGCTCTAGCACACCAACAGTGAGGGTAATGGCTTGTCCTGGACTCTCTCATGGGCAGCAACATGTCCACATAACCTCCAGTGGCTTAGGCCTGGTCCTTCCTGGAAGCAGGGTGCTAGCCAGGTTGGTCCTTGTGGAGCCCCTCTCACACGACAAGGGCCTATGTAACTATCTGTCGTTTCTTCTCTCTTCCAGCCTTAGCTTTTTTTGTCTAACTTCATGCCACTTCCCTCTCATGATGCAAGTTCCCCCGTCTTAAGGAAGAGAGGAGGCTTCCCCAGTGCGGGGAGGACAGCTACCTTCCAGCATGCTGACATGCATGGCATCATTGGCTTTCTTTGGGACACTGAGCATCACTTCCAGGCCATCCTTGAGCTCCCCTTTCCCTTCTTCACAGCAAGTCAAAAGTTCCTGGGGGAAAAAAAAGTCCAGACACAATTAGGGCCATCTCCCCCAGCTTCCTCCCACCACCTAACCCACCAAGGAAATTACAGACCAGCTTCGCTCTCTGTAATGGTTCCCTCTGAGCTATAAAGAAAGTGAAGTAGGGTAAGGGGTTATCTCCAAGAATTCAACCACAATTTTTCTCTCACACTGAGCATTCTCAGCCCAATCTAGCCCAAACTAACTCAATCCAACCCAACTCCCAAATGGCTTGATCTGTAAGTCAGCAACTGAGGCATTCTCTGTCACTGGACTGCCCTCTTAGGGAAGGGACTACCCCGGTAAAGCACAAGAACAGAGGTGCAGTATTGTATAATCCAATCCAATAAAGAGAACAAAGAGAAGAATGAGAAGGATAAAGGGAAGATAAAGAGTGTGCTACGCAGCACCCATATATCCCTGCATGCTTACTGCTGACACCACTTTTATTTACAAGCCTCTACAGCCTGAATGCTGACTTCCATCCTACTGGGAACAACCCGAGGTTGCAGACTTAATAGGCTTGTGACACCCCAGAGTAATAAAATATTTTTAGATCATATGGATCAGGAGTTCCTAATCTGGGGCCAATAGATGGGCTTCTAGGCTATTTCACTGTCAGATGAGGTAAGTGCGATTAAGAGAGATAAAGTGATTTTCCTCAGGTTATAGAACTCAGTGGAGGCTACGCAGAGGCCTGAATCCAGATCCCCCGAATCCAAGTCTGGCACTTTATCCACCACATCAACCCTGTCTCTCCTATATTCTGTCCCCCATTGAGGCTTCCAGAGGCAATACCTTCTTTCTTTTACATCCTGGGGAGCTGGGGAGTATGTCCTTTCTTTTGTATTTCCTCACTGGAGACTCAGTCATCACCATCCCCATAAAATATATACAGTATTTGGTTGGTGGAGAAAAGATCATTTCCAACTATCTTAAGAATCATAAGACTACTTGGAATGATTTTTGCCCAAACCAGAAGAATGTTGGCTTTTCATTTTTCTTATCAGAGTCACTGTATCTTGCTCACTTTGATACTGGGAAGGGAATGGTTAAGCAACAGATCTGCAATCCATACTCTCTCCTCCAGGGGGCGGGGGATGCGTGTTGAGTGGAGGTGCTTTTCCCAGAAAGAAAGAAGTTCACCAGATCAAATCTTGTAAACACGTTAATGACAGACCTCTTGACAAATAACCTAATGGTACTTGCTAGCAAAAGAGGACTTATCTAGGAAATGCTTTTAATAGGATAAATCTGGTCTGTCTAGGGCTTCTTATGGTAAATAATCCTAGAATCTGTGGCTTTAGAGGCATGGCTCTCTGGAAGGTGTCATATAAGCTACGCAGCTATCTAAGTAAAAGGGGAATGTCTTTCATGACCAAATGACTCTCTTCAGGGCAAGTGATACAATGCGACATACATAATTTACAGACCTTGTAGATCAATCTGGCCTCAGCACGTCCTGATGCTGCAAGAAAAGGCTTGGAGTTGCACTGGTGGTCCTGGCCCTTTCCCATGTCACCTCTGTCTTGGAATTACTTGTATCCTTGAAATTAGTAGTCAAGCTTTATACTTGGTAAGATATCTAATTAGTGAGAGTCTGATCTAAAAATCCAATCCTTAGTGTTAGCTTGGATACACTCCCATAGGACTAAGGGAGCTTGAGAGTCCAAAGAAGAAGTGCGCCCCCTAGAGCACACGTTTGGGAGGGAGAAGTGATCAGTGCTCAGCTCTGTCCTTGGCTCCAGTCAGTATAATGTCATTCTTGTTCAGAAAGTGATATTGACTTCTGCCAACCTAAAGTTCTCAGATTCTCCCACCCCTTTCCTTATTTTAACCTTCCCAATCTTATTTTCATACATCATCAAAGAAAATCCTGAGGTAAAACATAAGAGAAAAAACAAGAAATATGCTTCAGTTTGTGACAGAAAACACGAATTAGTTTAATCTCCCCTGCCCAAAACAATTGAGCAAGTCTACCAATCTACCAGCTGGGCCAATAAATTTTCTCTCATCCTTGCTATACTTTGTGATAAGGAGAAGGCTCCACATTTAATTTAGGATCCTTTTGTAAAGCCACAGCAGACTTACATAAAGAATACGGAGCACTCTGACATAAAGTTTCTACTTTCAGGCCATATCTAAAGTGATGAACTCAGAGGATACCGGTAATTAAATATGCATTTATTTGAAATAAAACTGACTTTATGAAAATAAATCCCATATTATTTATTTACAGTAAAAGCTCAGCAAACTATTTTTCTCTTACTCAGCAGGCACTCTGCCAACAGCACATTTTAAAAAGACCAAAACTATCTTCTTTTCTTTTTGAGACAGAGTCTCGCTCTATTACCCACGCTGGAGTGCAGTGGCTCGATCTCAGCTCACTGCAACCTCTGCCTCCCAGGTTCAAGCAATTATCCTGCTTCAGCCTCCTGAGTAGCTGGGACTACAGGTGCATGCCACCATGCCTGGATAATTTTTATATTTTTAGTAGAGATGAGGTTTCACCATATTGGTCAGGCTGGTCTTGAACTCCTGACCTCAAGTGATCTACCCGCCTTGGACACCCAAAGTGCTGGGATTATAGGCATGAGTCACTGTGCCCAGCCTGTTTTCCAAAAAAAAAAAAAAAAATTTACTTCCTCACAATCAAATTCCTGCCACTTTATTTTTCCACTTCTTAGCTACCTCTATAGGCACCTCTTCCTAAAACACTCAATTCCAGAACAAAGTTCCAGAGCCCACTCCTTCAACTGCCTACAGCAAAACACAAGCCTATTCTATCTTCAACTTCCCTCCCTTGTCTGTGCCACATAATTCATCCTAGAGGGCTTATACCTTACAGGATTAAAGGGAGAGGTAAAAAGCTATATTTCTTTTAGAACTGCATCTTAGTTGATTTAAGACACTGGGAGTGTGGATAGTTGAGTCAGCACTGGTTTGTCTTTCTTTCCTTTTTTTTTTTTCTTTTTAAATTCACAACCCCACCAATTCCTGAAAAACCTTTGGGTGGGATACGTACATTAAAAACCATAAAAATCAATTTTAAAAAGTCTATTAGCAGAAGAAAAATAATTTCATTTTTTATTTTATTCATTTTTTTTTTTTTTTGAGACGGAGTCTCACCCTGTTGCCCAGGCTGTAGTGCAGTGGCATGATATTGGCTCACTGCAGCCTCTGCCTCCGAGGCTCAAGCAATTTTCAAGCCTCAGCCTCCTGAGTAGCTGGGATTACAGGCACATGCCACCATGCCCAGCTAATTTTTTGTAGAGACGGGGTTTTGCCATGTTGGCCAGGCTGGTCTTGAACTCTTGACCTCAAGCAATCCACCTGCCTTGGCCTCCAAAAGTGCTGGGATTACAGGCATGAGCCACCAAGCCCGGCCATGAAAAATAATTTTAAAAGGCCAAGCATTAAGTGGGATAGGAAAGAAGAAGATAATTATACACAAAATCTGGGCTAAGGAGATTCTACTGTAAGCAACCACAAAATTTAATGCCAACTTTCTAATAGCCACAGGTAAAGAAGGGCCTGAGCACCTGTCATTTAAAGACAGAAAGTATATCCATTTTTCAGGAGAAAGGATTCCCTATGCCCCTGTCCTGAGGTCTCACAAGAATTTCTTGTGAGCCTTTATATAAGAAATTTCAAAAAACAAAGAAGGGAAAGCAGTTCTGCCAGGACAGCTGGGGTGCCTGCACACTCTTTTCTCACGCTAGTCCTCAGTAAAGGCCGAGGGTGTGATGTCCAGTTGTAACACTTTAAGCCATTTCTGCAGGGTTGGATGGCTGGAATCCTGGAAGCAAACGCCCGTAGCCTCTTCTTGGAGATGAAGAAGGAGAAGAATTGCAGGGAGGAGGCTGAAGGGAAATGATGTGGCACGGCCCCACTCTGACTCAGAGGACAGAAAACCCTACCAGGGCACAGGCTCCTGCACCTTCACTGCACTGCTGCCCTCACGCCTCTCATCACGGAACCTCAAGTGCTAAGCCAGGGAGATTCCATGGACTAGGAATGGTGAACTCACTCCAGTGTGACTAGAATGGTGGATTTGAAATTAGACTGGTTTTCAAGTTCAGTGAAACAAGATTATGCAAATTTTTGCAGGCATCTCTAAACAGGAGCTGAATTACATCAGATTTTCTCTGAAATTACACAATGTACTTATAACATGTCCCCTACTATCCCTTTATCTTTGCATTAAAGGAGCATCCAGCAGTATATTTCAAATGAGGGAAAACTCTACCCCTAAACTTTAGGAATTAATATAGATGGGGGCTATTTAACTACTTGTGTCAATTCCCCAGGCTTTCTGTGGAAATGACATGATTTTCAATGTATCAATGCATTCTTATATGAGAAGGATCAACTCAAATTACTTAGTGTTTTGCATATTTGGTTATTTAACTTTTAACGAAAAGGTTTTGAAGGAAGATCCAAATCTCCTGGTTGACTCCAGAAGAACCCCAACATGCGAGAACCTACAGATGTAAGAATACCCTTGTGTTTTAATATGTACCTTTTGACTATTTTCCCTCAAAATCCTCATCGTCTTGGCAAACACAGAGATTAAGACAATGGTAGGTGCCACTCTGGCCTCAACTATCCATGTAAACTGGCACTGCCCTTAGGACTCTGACCTTTTATTTATTTATTATTATTATTATTTTGAGACTGTGTCTCCCTCTGTCACTCAGGCTGGAGTTCAGTGGCGTGATCTCAGATCATTGCAACCTCTGCCTCCTGGGTTCAAGTGATTCTCTTGCCTCAGCCTCCCGAGTAACTGGGATTACAGGTGCACACCACCACCCCGGCTAAGCTTTTGTATTTTTAGTAGAGATGGAGTTTCACCACATTGGCCAGGCTGGTCTCAAACTCCCAGCCCCAAATGATCTGCACACCTCAGCCTCCCAAAGTGCTGGGATTATAGGCACGAGCCACTGTGCCTGGCCAGACTCTGACCCTTGATTTCATCAACAGCAGGGGCTACCAGGAAGAATCTGCTTTTATAAGGAGGGACAAGAAAGCCTCTAGGAGCCAGTCAGTGCCTGAGAAGGCAATTGCTAAAAGTTCTGCAGTGGTAGGCAGATGAGAAAATAGTCACAACTTATTCCTGCTCCCTTTTCTTCCCTTTCTGCCTTAAAATAGGCATCTGGAATTCCATGGGATAGGACAGCAATGCCAGTGTGGGCGGAAGTTCTGCTCTAGGTAGAAGAAAGGTCTTCAGGTGGAAGCATTCCCATCCTTACGGGCCAAAGCTGGGACTCCCTTGCCATAGGCAGTAGGCAGTGGAGGGGGATGTGGAGGGGAGGGGAGGTACCTTCAGGAGAAGTTGATATTTGGTGATCCTTTGGACAGGCTTAATTAGGTAGGAAGAGATGGAATTGGCCAGACCATGCCGTTGCTGTATCTCCTGCAGGGATGAGAACAAGGTGCAATTAGACACAGAGGGGCGTGTGTATGTGTGTGTTCTGAAAGGAGAGAGGCAGGGGTCAGAAGAGAGGAAGAAAGAGAAAAAGGTAGACAAGTTTGAGAACATGTTCTTTGATAGGGAGAGGGAGTAAAAAGAGAAACAAAAGAGACCAAGATGGATATAGAGAGAAAATAGGAAAGAGACTAAAAAGAGAGAAGGGTTAGGGAAAGAAGCAGATATGTGAAACAAATAGAAATTGAACAAAAATGGAGAAAAAGAGCAGTAGGAAAGAGAGCAATAAGGTAAATAACAGAGCAGAGGGTAAGGAGAGATGAAGTAGGAGTGAAAGGAAATCAGCTCCAAAAAGGGGAGAAGAGAGTACAGGGAAGGCAGAGAATGAGGCTCTGACTTCCATTCTGATGGCTCCTGATGAGTCCTTCCCTGCCCTCAGTCACCTTAAAATAGCACATGGATATATCTCCTTTATTAATACCATCCTTCTCTTTAAATTTAACACATCCCAACTTAGGGTCATCACTTTATTTCTTATAAATGTTTCATAGTGATCCATGGCACCTCCTTCATTCTTCAGGTCTCCTAAGCTAGAAACCATGGAGTCAATTTTAGTCATTTCTCCTCTGTTATCCCTGGTGACAAATCTTTCCTTTCCATTTCCAGGGACATCACCCTCATCACTCACGCCCAGGCTAAGGCCATGGCCTCCAATTGCTGTTTGTGCTTCTAATGTCTCCTTTTATTCTCTATCCTACCTCCAAAATGATCTTCTACTCCCCAAAGTCTAGGGGTTATAAGCAGCAGAAAAAGGTACATTTTTGTCCCTGTCCTCAAAAAGCTTACAGTCTAGCTGAGAATACTCAACGCATATGAACTAGAGATCAACAAAGGACAGTACAGGAAATGGTACAGCCAATAAAAATGGGAAAGATTACTGGGTTTCGGAGTGGCCAGGTAGTTAGTAGAGACAAGGCCTCAACCTCACCTGGGGCTAAGAGGTGAGGTGGGCAGGTGGGGTGGGTTAAGTAAAAGGTTGGAGAAATGACACTCACTTACATCAAACACAAAATGTATCGGCTGAAATAATCATTGTATGTTTACATGATGATGAGGACCATGACTGAATGGTACAGAGGATGCACACCCACCTTCCATAAGAAGTGAAAAATAAAGTTAGATATGCAAGGCTGGGTCATTGATGGGTTTGAGTTAGAAAAGAGTTAGGATATGAGGGTAAGTTTTTCAATGGGAAAGCATCACAGATCTTAAAGAGAAGAAACGGGTGGGGCATGGTGGCTCATGCCTGTAATCCCAGCACTTTGGGAGGCCGAGGCAGGAGGATTGCTTGCGTCCAGGAGTTCAAGACCAGCCTGGGCAACATAGCCAGATCCCATCTCTACAAGAAATACAAAAATTAGTTGGATATGGTGCCACGTGCCTGTGGTCCCAGCTGCTTGGGAGGCTGAGGTCAGAGGATTACTTGAGCCCAGGAGGTCAAGGCTGCAGTGAGCTATGATCATGCCACTGCACTCGGCCTGGGTGACAGAGAGAGACCCTGTCTCAAAACAAACAAATAAACAAACAACAAACAACAACAAAAAAGAGAAAAAAACACATGATGAAAGTAACGTTTCAGAAAGAGTAATAAATATCTAATAGCAACATGGGGGTAAATCTTGGAGAAATAGACAGAGACAAGTTATGAAGCTATTGCAAAAGCCCAGGTGTGTAGATCTGAAGTTGCCACATGATCCAGCAATTCAAATTCCAGGTCTATGCATGAAAAACCTAAATATCCATGAATTGATAAGTGGAAAAACAAAATGTAGAATATTCATACAATGGCATATTATTTGGACATAAAAAGGCATGAAGTTCTGATGCACGAAACAACATAGATGAACTCCGAAAACATTATGCTAAGTGAAAGAAGCCAGTCACAAAAGACCATGTATTATGACTCAATTTTTATGCAATGTCCAGGCAAGGCAGATCTATCTGCAGTGACATAAAGTACATCACTGGTTGCTTGGGGGTGGGGGTTTGTGGTGGAGCGCTGGGAGGTGATGGCTAAAGGATACAGGGTTGCTTTGTGAGGTGATGAAAGTGTCCTAAAATTGACTGTAGGGATGGTTGCACATATCTGTGAGCACACACACAAAAACACTGAATTCATACTTTAAATGGGTGAAATGTATGATATCTGAAATCATCTCTCAGTAAAGCTGTTATTTTAAAAATAGGTCCAGGTATGCAATGTAGGGGCATGCCCTAAGCTAGAATTAGTGAGAATAAAGTATTAGGAAGAATAAAAGAAATATTTTAAAGATGGACTTGATAGGACTTGTTATGGGGCTATGAAGAAGGGTGGAGGAGAGATAATAATAATTTTAAAAATTATGCCATTGCCTATAAGAAATGATTTCTATCCCAGAAAGTAGTAATTTTGTCACTATTTGCCTCTTCCCCAGAGGTGTGTAGTTACAAGGCTTGAGGATGATGGGCAAAACAGCTGCAGCTTGACTCTCTTCAGGCAACTGAACCTTGTGAGTTTATCTGGGAGCTTTGGCAAGAAAGCACAAGCAACAATTCACCTTTGGCACTCTTTCCTCTCTGACAAAAAGCCCAGCTTCAGGAAGGCTGCATGTGGAGCAGAGAGGGAGGGGCCTACATCAGTCAAACCAAGCTTAGACATCACACCCATGCTGTTCTCACATTTAGGGTCAAAAATTCTGGATCATGTGAATGTGTAAGCCTTTCTAGGACTTTAATTCTCTGCGTTCTTTTTACAGTCATGGATATTAGGTGACTGCCTTTATTAAGGGTTTATCTCATTTATAAATCTCATTTATAGAATGAGGGCCTAAAGCAGATGGTTCCTAATTGTAGAAGTTAGGGAAACTCTTCCGATGGAATGAAAATAAGCTGCAAAGATTATGCCTTTTGGAAAGTTTTGAAAGCAATCCAGAGAGTCTACTGTCCTCCATTCCCACTTCCAGGGCAGACTTGAAGAACTCATACTGGACCGGTTTTCTGGCTTCCATCAGTCTTTCCAACTGATGTAGAGGTTCACTAGGCACTATGTTGGAAATGGGGTACACAATGGGAAATTTGCGGATATATCTGACTTATCAAAGCATAGAAATTGGCTAGAAATGGGGATGAAAGGTAGGTAGGACTAAGGGAAAATACAGTCTGGTGCCAGGCACTGGGATGTGACAAAAATGAATCAGGCATAAGGTCTCAAGGAGCTCACAGGTGGAGGGAGATGTGAGTAACAGAAAGGTGCATTGTTAACCTGCCAAAAGGCAAATCATTATAAATGCTATGACAAAGAGACAAAGTACAAAGGAAATGATTCATGCAGGAAGTAGCATGTGAACTTTAATGGATAGGAAGAATTTTGAAGAGAGAGGGACAGAAGGGTGTGTGTGTTTGTGTGTTTGTACTGTGTGGAGGGGACACAATCTATCCTAGGCAGAAAGAGCAGTGTAAGCAAAGATAAGGAAGCAGAAGAGTTTGAGGCATGCTCAGAGCACAGGACATGTATGTCAGAAAAGTGCTAAGTGGAAGACAGGACACAATGTATTTAAAATTTCAAAAAGACCCTTCTGGATATTGCTCATGAATAATCAACAGAAGCATCCTAAGAGAAAAAGATTCTCAATCAGATGTAATGGTGGCATAGGGCATCTAATATGATACCCAATAATATCAGGTGAGAGAAGCACTTTTCTTGGGTTCTTCTGTGATGCCAAATCTAACCCAAGATATTCTAGTGTGGGACACATACAGCCATTTCCATATTAATGCTTCATTGAAAAAATCATGTGCGTTTTTCCTCATCTGGCTTCTTTCCATTCAAGAGTCATTTCCTTACTCAGCAATATGATATTTGCAGAATCATTTCTGTTGAGGCAGTGCCAGGCTAGAAAGATGCTCAGGGAAGGTGTCTTTTGTACACTTGAGTACAAGAGCCATGTTTAAATGTCTTTATATACTCCACGGGGCCTAGCCCACTATCTTGCATACAGTAGACATACAAAGATTTATGAAAAAAATGAAAACAGGTAGGCAGAAAGATAGACAGATAACCTTTAAAAAGTGCTGTTTCTAGTTTCTGTCACTTCTGATATGACTGCCAAAATGGCCTTCACTGCTATAGTCCGCCTCTCACTAAACTTTCTTTTTTCCCCAATTTCATCTTTCCCTCTTATTCATCCTTTGAATCCTGCAGGGCCCCCTTTGATTTTGCTTACTGTAAAGCCAATAGGTCACTCTCTTTGGGAACCAGCACTAAATAGATCCCACCATTCCTCAACAGGATTGTGTCATCATTCCAAACCAAAGCATCTGACAAGGCACATCAGCCTCACTCTTCTCCTGGCTTCTGTTATAGCAGAGGTGTTCAGCCCTGGCTGCACATCACTGTCACCAGAAACTTTAAAATATTCCAATGCTCAGGCCACAGTCAGGCCAATCACAGCAGAACCTCAGGCATGGGATTCAGGAATCAGTTTTTTTCAAAGCTCCCCAGGTGATTCCAATGTGTAGCCAAGGTTGAATCAATTGCATTAGAGAACTGATTCTCAAACTTGAGCGGACTTCAGCTACCCAGAGGCCTCCTTATAACTCAGGTTGCTGGGCTCCCGCTGAGAGATTCTGATTTAATAGACGTGGACTGAGGTCCAAGGATCACACTTTTGGAAACACTACGTTTGTGAGAGCTGTATGTGAAGCAGAAGTGAAATATATTAATCAACCACTGCATCATAGTGGGCCTTCTCTAAACATGTGCTTTATGGCTACCTAGGTTTGGTGTGGAGGCATGGAGACAAATTTGCCTCGTCCAAAATCACGCTGGTCAAGATAGGAAGGGATAAAACAAAATACATATACTGTTTTGTTTTGTTTTTTCCATGCTTAAGGTTTGGAGTGGCCAGTAAAGAAAATTTAGGAAAAAAGGATAGCTAAACATCCATCATGCCAAAGCAGAGAAGCATTTCCACCTGCTCATCAGCTGCTCAAGAATAGAAAACCACAGCTTACATCAAAGAAGGTGCCCGCATGCTCCAGGATAAGCTGGTTGGAATCAGGCTTGTTTTTACAGTAGGTGACATACATCTGAAATTTGTCTGCCTAAAAAGAACAAAGATAATAACAGATAAGCATTCATTAGTTGCTCCCTTCTGTCCACCATGCTGAATGCCCCAGCAAGGGCTGTACAGTCAAAACCCTCAGATGCCAGTGTCTAGATTTTCTATGGCAAATGTTCCATGCTCATCCAGCCTCCATGGTCTCCTAACAGACATTGGGATGTCTTTTTCTGTCAGTACGTACAGAAAGCTTCTGGAACTGAGCTCATTTTAATACTAGTTTGTGCTAGAAAGAATCAGAGAAAGCAATTCATATATCCTGACATATTCTGAAGTTAGACAAAACTTACAGATTTTACCCTTTTTTTGATTATCTACAATTGTGCTCCCCATCTTGAAAAAGGACAGCATTTGCTCTGAATACAAAAACAAATAATGAAGATAAAGTATGATCTCAGAGGTAGATCTGCTTGTACTCTAAATGTCTCCATCGGACAAAGGTGGAGGGGCATGGCAAGGAACTATGCCATCCCCAACCTCCCAGAGCAATGACAGGGAAAAAGAAAGCAGAGTAACCCCCTGGGCAGAGGCTAAACAATGGTTCCTAACCAGATTGTTACTTCAAGCCAAGAACCTTATGGCTGGGAGAAAATTCAAGACTCTCAAAACTCTCTGGGTTAGTGTTACTGGGAAAGGTATGTGTATTTTGGCCAGCAAATACTTTTCTTATTTGGTGGAATGCTACCCATCTCAGTGCCTTTGGAACTTTGTGTTGGCATCCTCTTCTGAGACAGCAGCCCAAATAAGTGTTTATTACAGCAGGTTTCATTTATGCTAGCATTGTTCTAAGAGCTTTACATGTATTAACTCATTTGGTCCTTATGAGACCTCTATACAGTGAGTTCTGTTATGATCCCCAGTTTGCAGATGAGAAAACTGTGGCACAGATTGATCAAGTGACTTTGAATTCCCGCAGTTAGCAGGTAGCAAGTAGGGTATCTGACTTTAGGCTTTTTGATCTTGACCACTGCCTTTTAATACATTACAAACAACTTCTTCTACCCTTCATTTCTGCATTAAACTCATATATTAAGATTATGAGACTTAAGAAAGTCACCTTGGGGTAATTCTTGGTAAAAGGTGAATATTTTATCCAATCACAAAAAAATTCTGAAACCAATTTTCAGGGCTATACACTACCTAGGAAGTTATTCATCATCCCTAGGAGATGATGATAAATCATTCTTATGACTGATTGTAAAGGAAATCCACAAATTTCATGAAAGAAGATGCAAAAAAACCCCTTTACTTAATGGTCAATCTTGTCATTCTCTATGTTGGTTGTGCAAGGAGTCATAAATTATTTATCAGCATTAATATGAGCTTTGCATTGGCTCATCTATTTAGAGGTAGAAAATGTATTAGGAAAAAATAAAATGGTAGCTAAGACTTTCTGAAGAAACAAGAGTGCTTGAAAGCAAACGTTAAGATTTCATGAAAAAAAGCTTGTCTGAGAGTCAGGTCTTGAGTTGTGGGACTGGCTGTGATATTTATTACGTGTCAGTGAACTAGTCAACCTCCGATCTCATCTGAAATTTTCCCATCTTTAAAATCTAAAACATAAACATAGTCCTGCCTACCACATAGGGCTGTTGAGAACATAATCTCTCTGAATCATGAAGACACTTTGAAAGGCAATTAGCCCCTTATGGGTGGAAGTTATTATCAGGTAATTACGAAATAGTAGAACGCTTGACCCCGGGGGAAGACTTGCATGTTTGCACTCAGTGTCCTAAGTGGACTTCCCTGGAGATGTTTGCATTCACATATTGTACATGAGCCTGAGTTCAGAATAATGCGGAGTGGAGAGCCAATGAAGACTAATGTTTCAGTTTATATAATTAGAACCCGGTACATTCAGTCCCTTTACTTGGCCCATGACAATAGCATGAAGGAGGATGACCAGGCACTCATCTTGTGGGTCAGAATTGGGATGGATACCCAAAAAATCTGTTTTTCTCTATTAAAGAAGAAAATGTAACGAATGGTTAGGTGGAACCCAAAGGATACATGCTTGAGGAGATGGACACCCCACCCATTCTCCACGATGTGCTTATTTCACATCGCATGTCTGTATCAAAGTATTTTGTCTACCCCATAAATATATACACCTACCATGTATCCACAAAATTAAAGATAAATTTAAAAAAAATGGTTAGGTGGCTTCCTAAAGTTCTAATTCCCTAATCCATATCCTGTAACAATAGCTAATGAACTGAGCTGATGCAGTTCCTCTGCCAGGGGTGGTAGTCTTGTTCCACTCTTCCAACCTCACAGTTTTAGAAAGTTCTTAGACAGCTTAAGACGGAGCTTAATCCTGATGTCTAAGAACTTTTCCCAAGGCTTCTCTCAGACCTACTCGTGGTCCCTCTCAGTAGCCCCTGGTCCTGTGTGAGACTGGCAGTGACCCCAGTCCTTAGGTCAGGCACTGAAGAGTGGTGCCATGTGTATGGGCAGTGGGAGAAGGATTTCAGGTAGGTTACCCAGGTAACAAAGCAGTGTCCCACATCCTCAGGCAGTTGCTCGTACTTCTCCAGCTCTTTGAGGAAGATGCTGCAAGAGGAGAAAAAGACTGAATCAGACACCTCTGTGCAGCTGACCCCCCCGAGGACTGCACTGAGGCCAGCACAACCATAACTTCTCAATTATTTACACATGGCTTCTCTACTGTCTAAGCGACAGATGGCGAGGTGCAGTTTTTAATGTTGGAACTAATTTCATTAAAATGTATGTTAATTGATTAATTACTGCTACTTAAAATAATATTCTTTCTCTTGGGGTGAACATTTCTAGGGGTGAAAATAAATAATAAAATATTTTATTTGTGTTGGACTTTTTATTAGCAAGTAAGAATCTACTTTTTTACACAAGTAATCTAAGCACATCATAAATATTTTAAATAATAGAGATATTTCAAAGAAACAAAATAAAATATCACCATCCCAGAGATAAAGTAGAAAAAAATTCAGCCTATACTGGCCTCTTTCTAATTTTTGGCCTCATCTTCCACCAGTAGCCAATTTGTACTAAAAACTATGTATTAAACAATGTTTTATAATACAGACACGATTAGGAAAGAAAATTTAGTGAGTAAAAAGTCACACTACATTCCAAAGCTGAATCGAATTACAACTGAATTATCTGCCAGTGTGGATATCTGTGCCATGGCTCCTTTCCATGTTAATAAATAATAAATAAATAGTTACACTGACTTCAAAATAATGTATTAAATCATTGGTTTGGGTTCAGAGGATATAAATTCTAACAAGCCAACATTATTAGAATGGTATTTGCTTTAAAAAACAAAATATTTTTCAAATAAAAAGTGATTATGAGGCTTTGGGGACACATACTGACAGAAGCGGAATTGCTATGATCTTTACAAGGAACAATTTGACAGTACTGATTAAATCACGAATGTGCTTATCTTTTGACTCTGCAATTTGAATTCTGGAAATTTTCCTGTAGTTATGTCTATGCATATAAGATGATTTATATACATGAGTATTAACTGTGACACTGTTTACACAAGCAAAAGATCGCCTGTAAAGAACAAGGTATTTAAACTATGGTACATCCACAGAACTATACACTATGCAGCTATGAAAAAAAGACACAGCTCTCTATGTTTTCATACAGGAGAACTCTGGGAGAAACTAAGTGGAAAGGTACAGAAGAATATGTAGAAAATGCAACTTTTTGTCTCAGTAGGAATTACGTGTTCTTATTTCCAACCCAAGAAACTAAGAAAAGACTTCACCACAGGGAAGAAGGTAAAGGAACAGAATAGGAGACAGTGGCGGACAACACTTCTCAATGTTTACTTTTCTATCTAATTTTGATTTTAAAACTGTGAGAATGCATTACCTTCAAAAATTGAATTAAAAGATAAATGATACAAAGTGGTTCTGCATTACTCTACTACTTACCTGTACCATGGAGGGGCAAAATGTTATTTGACTAACTTTACCTAGCTTCTATTGTCCACACATTTTGGCAGTATAATTAATTACAAGTGGTTATGGATTTCATATATGTGTTGTGCGTTCTTCCTTCAGCAACATAGAATGACATTGTTTGGAGTTTAAAAATAAATATGTGCAATTAAAAATGTTTGGCAAGTCCTATATGGAAAGCCAAAACGCTAACAATAGTTGATGGGATAATAGATGACTTCTTTGTCCATCTGTAATTTAATTTTTTCTACAGTAAATGAGCATTGCTTTAGTAATAAGAAAAGAGCCATTTAAAAAAATCTGGGGGACTCCTAGCAGTAACCAGTTTGTCCTTACATATGTGATTTTAGAGTATTCTGACCTGAATCATAGAGTAATTATAATGATATTTGGGCTTCAGAAATGCAAATATGTAGTGCTCAAAGTCAAAAAGTATCATATTTGTTGCTACCTTTTAAAGAACTACAAGTGACACATTTAAACTAATATGTACTTAATATGACCATTAAAGCGCAAATTTTAAAAAGCACTATATAATGTTATAATTGAGGATCAAACTTAGGTTAAGATCCAAAGGGAAATATACTTTTTTGTTGAGAAAAGAATCAATCTGCCTCATCATCATATATATGCACACACACAGGTACACACACACACACACACACATATCTAGATATGCACACACACACACACACACACAAACACATTTCAATTTAAAATTAAAAACATTTTTTTAAAATAATAGAGATGAGGTCTTGCCATGTTGCCCAGGCTGGTCTCAAACTCCTGTGCTCAAGCAATCCTCTTGCCTTGGCCTCCCAAAGTGCTGGGATTACAGGCATGAGCAACTGTGCCCAGCCTGGGCCGTTCTCCCTTAAGAATAGTCAAAGAAATGGTAAAACAGCCTGGATCAGGACATTCCACACACAATATAAAACTGTTTTATTGTTTCAGAAGTGGCAAGTATACCCATGATGACTCAAGGAGAACCATTACTTGACTTATGACCCAAGGTCAGTTGGTCTGGTCACTTTAATTTGAAGTAAACAATGATAATTATGTCTAAAGAATTGAACATTGACAGAGAGAAAGACAGTGCTAGCAACTTTATTTAAAATCTTATCAATTTAAATAGAGCAATACCCTGACTTTTGTGATAGCAGCTACCAAACACCTATGGGAAGATGCACAATTTGAAAATCCTCAGGAAACAAAAATACTATAACCAGAATTAAATGCACAGCATATAATTTTCATGAGGAATGCCTTTCTGTAAAATGAAGGTTTTAACAGCAGTTACCACTAGCTCACCCACCTACCTATCCCCAGGTCTCACTTTTTTCCTGTCCCACAACTAAGCACAAGTTAAAGAATCAGCGTTCACACTTGGTCACAGTTGTGAAAGGGTCTTCCAAAGCTTCATCCCCCTCATCTTGAAATCACAACTTTGCTGAGGCAGGCAGATCACCTGAGGTCAGGAGTTTGAGACCAGCCTAGCCAACATGATGAAACCCCGTCTCTATTAAAAACACAAAAAATTAGCCGGATGTGGTGGTGGGCGCCTAAAATCCCAGCTACTCAGGAGGCTAAAGCAGGAGAATCGCTTGAACCCGGGAGGCGGAGGGTTGCAGTGAACTGAGATCACGCCATTGCACTCCAGCCTGGGCAACAAGAGTGAAACTTCGTCTCAAAAAATAATAATAAAATAACAACTTTGTGGGGGTGCTTGTAAGGATTTAATCCACAGGTAAAAGAACCCAACTCAGTGCCTGGTACACAGTAGACACTAAATAAACAGTAGTTCTTCATGATCAGTGCTTCTCAATCTTAATAAACTCATACTCTTTGATAAACACATATACCTGACACTCTTCCCCACTCCTGGAGACTTACATCTAGGGGGAACTCCCTACCAAGCCCTCGCTGAAAACTCTGCAGCAGGTTATTTTCTCCTAAACCATATCCTGGGAAAATCTTGATTGGTTATTAAGCAACAATTAGATTCCAAGGTCACCTTGTTCGGGAAATGTTGGGCTAAGCTGGTTTATTTGCTGAAGAACTTCCAAAATCCTATAATATGTTGAGTTACACTATAAACCTCTCAAGTAAATACAGTATGCAGTGCTTCTCAAACTTCCTTGTGGGTGCAACACTTTTGGGGGGAGTATCAGACTTTGTCTCAAGGAACACTCTTGTAAAACTCTAGTTAGTGGTCCCCACACCTAGTTGTGCATCACCTTCTGGGGTGACTATCTGAGTAAATGCATTGTTTAGAAACGCTTCCTGGGTAATGCCCACACATCCAGTCCATAGATCAGCATTTAAAGGCAACTGTCCTAGATTCCAGCATGCTTCCAGATGGCAAATCCTACATTGGTTCTATAGGATTTAATTTAGGGGGAGAAAGCTACGATTTTTTTAAAAAAAAAAAAAACAACCTTTTCAGCTTGTGCCAGGTGCATCAATTGATAAGTTTGAATAAGATATTCATTACCATCTCAATGTAATTGTTGAAAGTAAGTGGCAATATTAAACTCTGTTTTGCTTCTTAATTTGAAGCTTATGAAGACGACAGATTATCTAAGTCTGATCAATATCATTCTACTTACTTCAAATAGACATGATGAATTTAAATTAAAGCAAAACAGCTCACAACTCTCTTCACAAATGATGGAACATTTCACCTTAGCTGTTCTATAGCAACAATTTGGCCCTCACCACTCCAATAATTACATGTAATAAATTGTGAAAGAATGAGCAAAGCAAGTCGTTTGTGTGAATGTCTGGGGTTCTTTCAGAAAGGAATAAAACTTTTAAAGAAATGTCAAGATCAAGGCAATGCCATTACTCTATTAAATTATTACAATATAATATATTATGCAGTTACTTTGTGAGGAAAATGCTTCCCTTTGGCTTTGTATACAATCCCGGGAAATGAAACTGCTGGCATTTATTAACAGAAAGCTTTCTGAGTTTTGTCATTAAATATGATAGAAATAGCACTATTTCAAAGGTGCTAGACTGGTTTTGTTATTCTCTCGGAAGGTGAATTTGTTCTACAGTCTCACTGCTTCTGGGGAAGTGTATCCTTCATTGAGGGGCTCACAATCTTGTCAGCAAACAGACTTTACATGAAGGGTGCAGTCTGCATCTAAATGGAAATATCTATTTGATGACCTTGTATGTCAATGTGCATTTGCTTGTTGGAATGCCAGAGGTGATAATAAGGGGAAGGGGCCTGTTCTGGCAATGGGAAAAAGAGGAACAAAGTGGAGCATACATTTAAACATTCAGTCGGAAATGAGGTGGGGAGACAGATGTGAGGTTCATGTATTTGTAGGAAGTCCAGGATATTGCCTTCTTTTCAAAGCAAGGCTGGGTAACTGCTTTCATGCAAGTAGAGCTAGAGATTATTTCTAAAGAATCCATTAATGACCAGGCAGATTCAGAGCCTAGAACATAAGAGGCTCTAGACCGTAGGGGCTAAGATAGCTGGTTAGCATATTGGAGCAGGTATTAAACTAATGGAGGGTCATGTACGCTCAGGGAAAGGTGCTGGATTTTTCATGTAACAGTTTCAGCACAGTTTGATCACTG